TACAAGCGGGGTGCATTGAGGAACCTGGGGGCAGCAGAGAGAGTAAATCCGGTCCTGTGTATATCACAGTAAAAATGGCTCCACTTGAATAAGCAATTCTCATTATTTCTCCTCTATTCCACCTTCTATCAAATATTGTACATTCAGTACTTATACATTACATGAATCAGATGTCCAATTCCAATTCTCAGAATTTAATAGAGGTGTTAGAAAATGAGTTTTGGCTCTAAGCATTTCACAGCTACAGCTCTTAAGGAGCTTATGAGACTTCAGTGCAATATTGCTGAAATGCTGGAGCCACATCGGAAGGCACCTGTTAAAAGAATCCCTGGGCGAGAGCAGAAACCGCAACTAAGGGTAAGTCTCCAATGCTGTGCCACATATAACGCTCTGTTCCCCATAAGGATGGGTCATACCCCATCCAGTTTTGTGTACTCCCCATTTATTTAGAAGAGATAGTGAGATGTTCCGTCACTAGGAGACTTCAGCCAAATGATACATATGTGGTATAGTGTCCTCCAGTAGAGACAGGATAGCTCGCCTCCTGTCCACCTTTCAGGGATGGATGGTGATGTCAGTCAATCTGAATCACATATATATAAAAATTGGATGTGGTGCGGGGGGCAAACAAACTTCAGCATTACAGAAAAGGTTTTTTGTTTTTTTTGTCAGACGAGTTACAGTATGGAGGGCATACTGTAACTTGTCTGACAAAAAAAAAAATGTCTGTAATGCTGAAGTTTGTGTGCACATATGGTGTGGGGTTCCTCTTCCAATAACTTAATAGGCAAAAAGTCAAATTCCAGGTCTACTTGCTCTGCCATTTTTGGAGACCCCCCACACACACACAGACACACCCTTTCTCCAAGCACATTGATTTATTTATTTAGAAATATGCAAGGATATTTTTTTTGTCATCTGTCTTCAGCCCAGCAAAGTGATATCACAGTTTCTCTTTCTCCTTACAGATGAACGCTGCATTCCCTGTGAGCTCAGGGCAGCTTTATGATGTGCCATCAGAGGAATGTCATTAACACTGTGGGCGGGCTCATAAGAAGTGCATTGATTGATGCTGCATGACATTCAACCCTGAAGAGGACCTTTCAGAGAAGTGTTGCTCGTATTTGTGCTGCACATTTTAATGAGCATGCGCGAACGCTTACGAGAAGTTCTAGTAGAAGAATTGCTCGCACTTGTGAACAGGCACGCAATTGTGTGGGCACTATGCTGCCTACGCACACACGTGCTTGAGCACCCATTTGAACATTGGCACCAGATGGCCTATTTATGGAGGAGATTTGTATCTGTTCCTTGCTGAGAGTTCTTCAGCTAATGCACTGCTTCCTGTGTCTCTGTTCCTGATTCTGTTTGCTCTTGATATTGACCCGGCTTATTCTTGGACTCTGTTGATTGCTGCCTGCCCCTGACCTTGGCTAGATCTGGACCTTCCTTCCATTTGCTAATTATTCACTGCCTTGCCAGCATGTTACCGACCCGGCCTGCTCCTGACCCTGCCTCTGTTTGCTGATTTTGTACCTTGTTGCACGCTTGATCATGACCAGGCTTGTTCCTCACTTCGGCTCTGCTCTTCACCAGTGCCAGCTTCACCCATTGCTGACGTCATATTCCAGGAAGTGACTGCCATCATCTTCCTTAAGACTGGTCCACCTGCATCTCCAGATCCGGGTGTATCCACTTCATCAGGCACTCATGCCCCTCTTCCATCCCTACACCCTCTGTCCACCATTACCAGGGGTGTTTGGACAAGAGAAGCAAGAGAGGTCGCCCTTGTCATCTCAGGCTCTTACCAGGTACGTGACAGCACCAGTGTTAGACCCCAAAACAGTGGGGTCTGTGGGGGACAGCACAGGAGCGAAGCTAAGTATTGCAGTGTGAGCAGCTTTTAATTTTAAATTGGTCTGGCTTATTTTTCACCTAAAAGTGGAGTTGGACTTTAATATGCTTTGGGACAAGGGCTGATGGAAATAGTCCTATGTACTCTTTAATGCACTGAGCAAAATGTTGGCACTTTGTGCTCAGGGAAATCATATTTATTAGGAGCAAGCTGTGGCTCTTCTCAGTTAGTTATGAATTTGTATGCTCCTACTAGAAAAATACATAAAAAAGGGCTTTTAAGTTCTTTTTTTTTTGTGGCGCTGTATACAAAGCATACAACAGAAAGTTGGTCCATGGTAATGGCTAAAATCCACATGACCGAAAATTGTTTCTTTAGCCCATCATGAAAAAAGAGATCATAATGGCCTATCCTGTGTGTGGCCAATATTTAAAGGTCATCCCTAATTATATTTTTGGAAGGCCCAACACATGCATTGTTCTGTTGCTTTCCTATTCCCAATCCAACAAACTCTTTGTTCACATTAATTACATATAGATGATGCACACATGCTGTGTTCAGCTTCTTTGTAAATCTCTACCACAATAGAAGAGAAGACAGGAGGTGTAACTATGTAATGCAGCCTGTTAAAGAGATGGAAGGAAAAAGCACATGTCGGACCATGAGCAAATTGCCAGGCTACATTAGGCAACCAGTCAATCATTAAACTGGTAATGCTTTGTAGGACATATTGAACACATGGCAAGCTGAGCTGGTCTACTTAGTTTACCTTAAATATGAAAATATATAACCCCCTGCAGCTAGAATCATGCAATACTTTTAATGTGTTCTATGGCACAGGGAAACAGCTTATTGCCATATGACTGTGTAAGCTCTCTCTTATGCTCCAATATGTTGGTGTGAGATTGCAATGAGCTCAAAAGGCAGGACATGAAATAAACATTGCACTTTCATGTCCTGAGCCATTTGGGGATACCAAGCTAAATGCCAACATTCATAAGGGGCAGGAGAACAGGAGTAAGTCATGTGATCATGCAACTAAAACCACCCAAAATAAGTTGCTTAATTTAAGGAATATGCCAGGCAAAGGAAGCAAGCACATAAGTTATAGAAGTAGGGAAATCAGGTTAGAAAACAGGTATTTCAGTACCCCAAATTACAACATGTTTTTAGCTGATCAGTTTTAATGAGAGCTGTAGTACATTCAAGCAATTTATTTTGATTTTTAATGCAGGATGCACTTGGTTGACCTCTGTAGAAAGTGGTATTGTGGGGTAGTATCTGTGGCCATATTAATGGTACAGACAGCATACAAGCACACAATGTAACATGGTCAGTAGGGTGGAAAATGAGGCCCTTATTTCAACAACAAAGAGGGAGCTAGGCCTTTATGACCCATCAATTTTATATTCAGAGACAACAGGAGTAAAGTGGCCAAAAGAGCCTATTACCAGTTCACATCCAGCACTGGTAAAGTGGCAATGACTCCCCTCTGCTTTTAAAGATACCACATGCTTCCAATAAATGCATATCCCCCATCCCGTTGATCAGCAAATGGATTTCAATGAAGATTCCACTTTTAAAGTGTTTACTGGGCAAGAACTTTGTCCCTTGTGCAATAAATGCCTAAGGCCTTGTTCACACCAAGCGCAGAGCAGGTGCAGAGCAGATCAGTTGCAGAGCAGATCAGTTGCAGACCGGATCAAAACTGCATCCAATGTATTCCAATGGTATTTTTTGCTCCAGTTCACATCGCAGCGTGCAGATCCAGAGCAGGTCCAGAGCAGTTGAAAAAACTGCAGCAGGCCCTATTTTACATGCTCTGGATCTTCTCTGGATCTGCAAACGCATCAAAAACGCATGTAAATGCCTGGAACGCACTGAAAGCCCATTTTAAACTTAAAAAAATATATATATTTGTTTTGCCAAAAAAGCATCTAAAAGACTAGCGTGCGTGTGCAGAAACCTGACCGGATCTGCTCTGCATTTGGTGTGAACAAGGCCTTAAGAGTGATGTAGCATAGTTGCTTATTAAGCAATATTCTTCCTATAAAGGAAGTATCATAATTTTATGTCCCTACTGAATAGGAAAGCAACAGTTGTTTTAGTAACTCACAATGGCTACAGATTAAAGTGGAATGATTAGATTATTTTTTTTTTTAATGGCTTTATTGTAGTGGAAAAAAAGTAAAAATGTATTGAAAACTAACAGGCTAGTTTCGGCTGGAGTTTCCTTTAAGTGCCTAAAGTTACTAAACTTTAAGTTACTAAAGTTATTCAGATGTAAGATTGTTTGCACAGCTTGTACTTTATACATTCAAGCAAATATTTGAACTTGTCAGTAATGCTTTAATGGTAGTATGGAGATAATCACTGGAAGAAATAGAATCACATGTGGGGTACAAGAAACCATGGATGGGGTCCCTAGGGTTGGACACATTATATAAGTGCTTGGCAAACAAACTGTTTATGTTAAGAACCTTACCATGAAACCCTTTAAAGTACCAACACGATAGAGTTTGTGTCAGATTGAATGTTTTTGTATTTTTCCAACCAAGTTAAAGTGACCCTGTTGGTATGATAAAAAAAATAAACCAGGTGGTGATTCCAGTCCTCAGTCTCTTTTGAGTTACGGGCAACACTACTATCCAAGTTGTGATGGTTGTTGATCTAACAGAGAGATAGGGTCTCTCTGTGATGCAGTTACCATGCTTGGCGCAGAAGTGTTTTGAAAACCAGGCAATTCTGTAAATAGCAAATCTGTTCATTCTACTAAATAAAGTATATGCATGAAAGTTTGTCTATTCTGTTGAAAATCCCATAATTCATAAATTGAGTTCGCCTCGATCCCTACATTGCAAATTTATCTACAGATCATATAGATCTACATACATATATTCAGGCAAATTAAAAACCATTGAGTTGGCAATTCTGATTCTCATTAACGGAGAAAACAGTGTTCTTCACTATTAGCAAGCTAACCTCACAGTGTTTGTTTACTTGCAGAGTGAATAACCTTTGGTACCTTCTAGTTATTTGCTGAGTAAAGGGGGTGTGATAAAGAGTCAGGACAGTGACTGCATACTATACAAAGAACTCTGAATGGAATGATTTCATTATTCACTCTGTGAAGTCGTACATTACGTCAAAACGTCAACGACTTTTAATAGCTTATCATCTTAAGGTATGTACTATGTATTCTTACATGCTTTGCACAGTGAGCTACACTCCCATACTCTATACTTTGTCTTCTCTAGTTTTAAAGGGAGCCCAATTATTTAGGCTGCCATTGCTGCACGTGCTTTGACAAAATGCTAGTCACTCGGCTGTCATCCTGGTACTTTGGCTTAAAGCCCAGTTCCAGGTTGTTGGAACTTCTTGCACAGCCTTACAGAGAAACACAAGCACAGTCTGATATGCATGCTGCTCGTGGCTTGGCTTGGAAAACAGGAAGGAAGCCGTAGCTTCATTATCTACCTTATTCAATACAGAGTATACCATAGATATAACAGAACTTATAAACACTGCCATCTAGTGACCGAAATTGTATACTGCAGGAGTTATTGCTATAAGCACAGTATGTGTAGGTTACTGATGCAGCCCATTTCTCATATGGATCAGTGTTTTGTGTTACCTGAAGATGTGCCTTCCTGTCCTAGTGACCTCCATTCCCATCACCTCTTGTCTTGGTGTCACAGGGATGTCACTGGGACACAAAGTAAGGACATTTCCCCCTACAAGAGCCATAGACAGCAATAAAAACCTCTAACTCATCCCCAAGCTATCAAAAAAGTAAAACATCTGGCTAGGGTTGGGCTTAGAAATCAAACATTTGACAAGACTGCTTTGTTCAGTCTATGGGGTGCAGAGACTACTGGGCTCAGTCTAGCAGCCTGGGGGAAGCTGGCTGGAGTGGGGATAAAGTAAGTAAAATAGCTTCTTGTATGTTCCCTAGTCATAAAAAAGCACTTAACCCTTGCAGTACAGTGGCAGATCCACTGCAAGGGTAGTTATTGGGTTTGCCCAGAGATAGGCTTCATATAACGTTGCTGAGAAAGGCTTTCTCAAAAGGAGGTGAGAAATAATATATATATTTCTCTTGGGCTGGAGTGTTTTGGTCTACCTGTGTTAGAACACAAACAGTCTGCATCCAGGGATGTACAGCCATACCTATACACAAGTTATTTATGTACTTATGTATTATTGGTATATATATAGCGCCAACAATTTATGCAGCGCTTTACACAGTGCATATTCACATCAGTCCCTGCCCTCCAGGAGCTTGCAATCTAAGGTCCTTATCTCACCTGCATACATACAAGGGCCAATTTAGAGAGAAGCCAATAAACCTACCAACATATCTTTGGAGTGTGGGAGCAAACCGGAGTACTTGGAGGAAACCCCATGCAAGCACAGGGAGAACATGCAAACTCCTTGCAGATAGTGACCTGGCCTGGATTAGAACCAGGGACCCCCAAGTTTACATTAGGAGCAGTGCTAACCAGCATACATCCGCAGTCTTGTCATTAATTTGTACTGGTGGGCTGCATGCAACACCGGGCACAGAGATCTGCCCATTTTTTATAGTACAGTTTTTGTACAATACACTATTATTTATTTTCTAATAGTCATTTGGCCATAAAAATTGTGAATGCCGCCTGGGAAGAGTTATGCCATTTTTTTTGTAACAGAATAGAAGTTGACATTAAAGCATAGGCATTAATAATCTCTTATGTCAGAAAGTGGATTTTTTTATATATATTTGTTAAATATTCCTGTGGACATTGTCTTCATTTCAGGTCTGGTTAGCGTTGCTCCGTACAGCTAATCTCTTTCCATCACTATGAATTCATCTCTTCATACGTCACCCGTAGCAACATTGGAAAAGCTAGCATCTGAGCTCGGCTGCAGCATAGTCGATGAGAAACTGGCTATTCACTTGGACAATGAAGATGAATTAAAGCATCTTAAACAATGTTTTCACATTCCAGCGAAAAAGGATTTGCCAGCAAGTAAGACATATTTGCTTATTTATTTGAACATTTGGCTTTGATCCTGCATCGTTTTATCATAGCATGAAATGTAATCAAAAGGAAGAACTTTGCTAAGACTACGGAGACTGTGACTTGTGTATAAAAACTCAATGTAAGGGAAATTCTGTGTGATATGAAACCTCCAATCAGATGTCAACATTCATTTTCTCCCTCTTATGGTTATCAACATGACTATCAACATGACAGAGTCATGCACCTCAGCTGAGCAGCTGCACATATGTAAAGGCAAACTATAAAGAAAAAATGTTCATGTGCTCTGAACTCTATGGCTAACCATTAAATGAAAGCCATACCCGAATCAAACTGAAAATGAAGCCTATAGATATATACAGGGAACCCAGTCTACCAGCTTAAGGTTTTGTTTTCTCTTTTACGCATTCCTAAAGTGAACTAGTCCACTCCTATACCTTTTATCAGTAATCTGGTGATCAAGGAACGCCTTTGTAATACCTGTTTCCAATGTAGGAGATGTATTCCTGAATGTGCCTAATGTACGCACCTAAATACATGCACCACAGGCAGTGACAGTACAGGGACCTATAGCAAGGTCCTAGAAAAAGCCAAGTGTGCCCCCCACCTTTAGTCTTTGAACTATTTCAGCAGCATAGTTTGCAGGTCCTGCCTTTTTTGTACCACCCCTTCCTGCTCAAGTTCCCAAGGTGACCACCTCTCCTGCCTACCTCTCACTCCATTCCTGGCTGAAGCCCTGTCAACACACCCATAGGTGGCCCCCAAACACACCCTCTGCAGACTCCCAGACACACCAACTGCAGGCTACCGATCACACCTAATGCTGGCACCTAAACACATCAATTGCAGGCGCCCAAAAATACTAAATGTAGAGCCCCATACTTACCCACTGCTGGCCCTAAACACTCACACTTCAGAATCCCAAACACACCCACTGGAGACACATAAATACACCTACAGCTGGTACCTAGCACACCCACTGATGGACCCCAAACACCCAAACTGCAAGATCCCAAACATGCGTAAAGCAAATATGTTGCGCTCGGTCTAGGTGAACCAACTGCACACTAAAGTGTTAATAAACAAATCTGTCTAAAAATTACAACAATCCGTGTGAAAAAATTGATTCAAGTGGATTATTTACATATGACTATAAGGTTCAACACACAAACATAATAAGAATAATAAAAATCAACACTGGAACCTTCAGAATTAGTGCCAGTGATCAACCTCATTGGTTCGGCATGTATATTTTAAACACGTGAACCTCTGGCTAGCGGTGTAGTAAAACAACACAGAAAACTAAAATTTAAACCGTGATATTAATTCAAGCTGTGAACAAACTTTGAAAAGGAAGGAGGGGCTCTGTGGTGGCCCTCCAATACTCAAAAAAAAACAAAAAAAAAAAAAACGTGCAAATAAATCAAAACTCTAAAATAATAACAGCAAAGAAACTGACATTTCAAGGGGCATGTATCATTACATGCATAACCAACGAACAGCACTTTAAGAAAGGGCAACTTCCTTCTCTCAGTGACACTTGATCAATCTGTCCGGCAGTCCTCCAAACATTCAATGACAATTCCCCAAGAGGGGCTCCTTGTTAAAGAGGTCTTTTAAAGTTCTGGTTTTCCAACCCCTTCTAATGTCTCCTTGTCAAGTACCGGCGTGGGTCTCTCCTTCTCCTTCAGTCACCTGATCCCTCGCCGCCCGGAATGGCGGCGTTCACCTAATGGTGTCCCCCAGGGAAAAATTTGAAGGAAATCCTTCATTCCAGGCGGCGAGGGATCAAGTGACCGAAGGAGAAGGAGAGACCCACGCCGGTACTTGACAAGGAGACATTAGAAGGGGTTGGAAAACCAGAGCGCAAAATATTTGCTTTACATTTGTTCACCTATACACATTGTTGCGGCTGGTCCAATCAGGTAGTTAGGCACGCATTCCCAGTGCAGTGATTTCTGTGATATAAGATCCCAAACATGCCCACTGCAGGCCCCTAAACACACCCATTAGAGGCCCTCAAATATGCCAACTGTAGACCCCTATACACACTCACTGTAGCCACCCAAACATACCCGCTACTGGAACCTAAACACACCCACTTCTGGTCCGCAAACATATCCCATGCAGGCTCCCAAATGCGTCCACTGCAGAATTTAAACCACAGCAGACATCACTTTCACCTAAACACACCCACCGCTGGCCCATACATACCCATTTCTGGCCCCAAACACACCCACTGCTGGCTCCCAAATACACCCACTGTAGGAACCCAAAAACACCCACTAAAGGCCGCTTGCTCTCTCAGTGTGAAAGTACAAAGACATTTCTCACCAACACTATTCAGATATAAACCTTCCTTAGATGTTTGAATAATGAATCTGATTGGTGATCAAGTACATAAAAAAAAACAAATTGTCTATCCAGGTTGGTCTACATTTGCCCGCCACATTCAGGTGCTCATACAGCTCGTCACTGCTAAAAATGTGGATGGCGGCACACTAACATATTCCCCAAGCAGCTTCTTTATTATTAAACAAAATCAATTACACAAGAGATGAACAAGGACTTCTAACATATTTCACCCACACAAGTGTTTAGTCATAAAAGTAACTACATTGTACACACCAAGTACATGGTTAATCTTCAGAGCCCCTAAAGATGGTATGTCATATTAGACAACCCTGGCAGTGAATATCTCACATCTACAAATACCTTTCAGTTCAATATTTCTGTGTTAGCAGTACATTTTATGTTTTTTTTTATAGGAAAGACAGACAGCTAAAAGAAAATTGTAACATGTGTGGCTAGTCCTGGTGCAGCAGGGAATCACTTATAAACCCTAATGCAAGCTTTCATTGATTTGCCTGTTCTTGTGTATAATTTATGGGATAATGCACTCCCTGCTGTAATGCTAGGAACATTAGGATTAACCACAGAGTTCAGAGACCATAAAAATGTACAAAGGTCATGGAACTCCAGAAGTGAATCCACAAGTGCTTAAAATTTTATAGCAGGGGGAAATTATCATTCACAACCTGTCAGACTTTGATGGACGTGGATCTGGTTGAAGCACAATTTCTGAAATTTGTAGACATAGATGGATTCTATATTTAAAGCTGAACTCCAGTCAAAGAGCAAAAATACACACCTGTTCCTACCAAGGGATTATTATTTCCGCCCATACATTCCTGAGAGTTTTGCAACTCTGCCACACAGGGTGGGTTAGATCACCTCCCTGTCCCCGGCATTTGACGGAGCATCAACAGCTCACACTTTACTCCACTCTCTTCTCTTGTCAGAGCATTTGCATGCCCCCACCCTCATTTGGCTGTTATTTTATTTATTAGAGGTATTTATAAAGCCCCAGCAGTTTTTTGCAGCACTTTACATGACTGAGGTAGCATAGATGTCCCTATTCTTTCCCACTACGAGCCACCAAGACCACCCACCACCCGTCCTTGTAAGGAATAAATAGACCACACTCCAAAATGGTATAAAATGGCCTTGGCAGCCTTTTATTAACACATTTGATATAAAAAAAACTGTATATAAACAATTGTCAGAATTACCTAAACAAAGTTGCAGGTCTTTGAAGGCCACACCTTTTCTTGATCCGTTACTTGCAGCAGTATTACAACATGTTAGGCCCTCAGCCGCAACACACCACCTCGGGGACAACCACCAACTGACCGCATACACTCCAAATATCCAATAGAATAGAGGACCCATACCAAGAATAGAGGACCCATACCAAGACAGGTCCCCAAACATTAACCACCAGCACCTATTATTTGATGGCGTCCAAAGACCCCAACTGCATAACTACCCAGAGCCTAACACCAAAATTTGGGCGAAGTTCACTCTTCCTCAGACAATCTCCAACTGCTGAAGAGAAGACCCTCCTACTCAGACCACCGTTTAAGCCCCACCTAACCTTTTGACCTGTCCAATCAGTTAAGTGACCATGTCTCAGGACCAAACCCTTGTTAACCCTTTTTTAGCTTGTCTCCCCTACACACCTAGTCATTTATGCCCTCCGCTTATTTATTTTTTTCTTTTTCGGGCCTTCTTTTCACTGCACATTCATATCAGTCCCTGTCCTCAAGGAGCTTACAATCTCCCTATCTCACATGCATACACACAGGGCCAATTTAGACAGGAGCCAATTAACCCACCAGCATGTCTTTTGGAGCGTGGGAGGACACCAGAGTACCTGGCAGAAACTCACACAAGCACAGGGAGAACATGCAAACTCCTTGCAGATAGTGTCCTGAACGGGATTTGGACCGGGGGCCTCCAGTGATGCTACTCCTCCCTCTCCAAATCTGAGTGCTTCTGTACATGGGATCGCAAGAAGCTTATACTAAGTCACATTTTGCCAACGACACTAACTGCATATAGTTTAAAGCTTGTTCAGACTGGGGATATATAACAGAGAGGCATACTTACCTTATTTGATGCTCCCCCGGCAGTTGGTGTTATTTTCTTCTTCTTCTTTTTCTTATCCACCCCCACTATGTCCTCATATACAATGGCAGACCTCTGGGTGATGATTTTGGCGAAGGGCAGCGGCGTCAGGGCACTGGTCTTCCTTTGGGAGGAAATCTATGGGAGGGAGAAAGTAAGTAATTCTGTCTATTACAGCCCACTAGACTAAATGAGCATTAGAGACTTACTATTCAGGGGATTGGGGCTGCCATAATGAGGTTTCTTATCAGCTGACGGTATTTTAGCTTTTATTTTTTTAATGAATGCATAACTGCATTAATTGTTGTTTTTTTTATATCTGCCTGAAATTTAGCTTTAAACACATATGACTGAGCTATACTCAATGTATTTTTTCTATTGTAGCATAGCATACTATTTATTTGACTTTGCCCTTTTTTTATGAAGTGGAGAAATCTCTTACTAACGAAGAAGACAATTGCATATACTTCTGTGGCAACTCCCTTGGGCTTCAACCAAAGAAGGTCAAACCCTATATTGAGGAAGAACTGGACAAATGGGCAAAACTGTAAGTGTATGACAACGGGATTGACATTTGTTGAGTTGCGTTGCAGTGTGTTTAAAAGAGAACTATGGGGTAAATATTTTATCACATAGTTCTCTTTAGGGTCATGGGAGGATATTATACTAATATATACTAACATCCTCCATTCACCCAAAGCTCAGCATATAGCGAGCTATATACTGAGAGCGACGCAGCTTGGACGGATCCCGACAATACTGTCGTGATCGACCCAGCTGCGTGAGTGACACTTGGCTCTGCCTTTCTAGAGACAGTGCCAGCTCTGCCCGCCACCTCCTCCGTTCGATTAGCGCTGGAGGATCGGAGAGGGGAGAGGGGAATCCCTGTGGGGAGCCGTGACTGACAGTCACCACTCTCTGCATGGAGATGATCGGGAAGTGAGCAAGCGACGGTATGTGTTCACTCACTTCACAATATATAGAGCCGACGTGTGACAGTTTCAATGTCACATGTCAGCTCTAACTATGAGGATTAGTGTAAATCACTCACCTCATAGTTCTCCTTTAAGGAACCCTTGACGTGAGAGAAGAGAATTATGTAGATTGGCATTGCTGTATCTCTCTTTAGTATGGAGATCAGGAATTCTGTATTGTTTATTGCAGAGTATGTGGAGATTCTGAAAGCTGTTTCAGTATGGAAGCCAGACACTTAGCCGAGTCATTAACATTTTCAAAAGAAAGCCAGCAATGGCAGCCCCTTTACTTTTCTTATAACGGGAGGTACTTTGAACACTTTGGAATTTTGAAGGACTCCATTTAAATTGGCATGAATAGCAACATAACATAAAGTAACACATTGCTGTCCTATTGATAACAACACATGTCCTCTTGTCCATGCATGTTACTTCCTTTTAAAAATCCATATACCAAGAAAATGAGCAAAGCAGTTGCATCCAGATCTATTGAAAATCAGACTGACTCTCAATTTACAAAGTATATGGAACCGTTTTTTCTGTATGTTCAACCCCTGCACCCGCAACTCTGGGCAGCCATGTGAGACAATCTGGCAAGGGTCGGCAACATATTTAGCACTGTAGATGAGACAGTGTGTATCTGGAATCTGATTCTATTTCCTTCCCCCTCCTCCTAGTGACAAGGTTGCTTTAATATATTTTTCCTTTAATTTTCGTTAATGACAATCATTTGTATTTCATAGCATCTTTAATGACCCCATAGCATCAAATTATTTTAGTACTACAACTTCCTTACAAAGGGGGTGAAAAGTTGTAATGGCAATTGACCTATATGAGGTGTTATAGACCATTACAATTCTTAGGGACAGTGTCAATGACACTGCACCCTGGCATCACATGATGTGTATGTGTCATACATTTTTAAAAGTGTACATTATTTCTTAACTACATAAGTCAACAGCACACCATATGATTAATTTTAAAAAAAGTATTTTAGCTAGTTTTTGCTGCCACATGTGATTTTTTTTTTTAGCATGCATAGTCAAAATTGAGCATTTGAATTTTATTAGCTGCTATGGTAATAGAGCAATTGAAGATTTGTTGCTTTAGTGCACTAGACACTGTGTTGAGTATATGCAGCAAATTGGACCGCAATTGTGTGCGATTATGGGCTGATAACAAAGGGCAGCTTTGTGTGTGTCACCAAAAATTGCACGCTGATGATCTCAAAAAGAAAAAAAGAAAATCACAATACTTTAACATTAAAATGAATCCCAAAATACTAACCCTAGAACAATAGAACCCAAAACCGTTTTTGTAATTTGTCTCCATATATTATAATTTTTTTGGGAGAAAATAAAAAAAAAGTATAATTAAAAAAAAAATAGAATAAAATATCCTCAAAAAAGAGGGGGCAAGCAGCAGCTAAGCAGAAACAGAACTTGTTGCTGGCACAAGCAAAACAAAGGAGTCCTAAAAAGGAAGGTTTATTCACTGTGAATGCAATGGGTGGTACACAGTCACACCACAATGCAATGCCCAGTAATGGAGCACTGATGCCACTGAACAGCACAGTAGGAGTGTACACTTCACTCTCTGCAGTCCACCATGGTGCAATTCACTGTAATGTATGAATGGCAATATGCAACACCGAATATAGCACTTTATGCTATCCCTTAGTAACACCAACACACACTGACAAAAGAATACCGGGAGAGCAAACATGTTAGGGAAGGAGCTGGGACATTTTTAAAGCCCCACTATCGTCCATACTTTTTCACCTACAGTTTACAGGTGAGGCAAAGCACAATGAGGTTCACTTTTGGATGAACTTGCCTATTGTTCGCCATTTGGGCGAAGGGTCAACATGCAGAGTTCGCTATGAACACAACTCGACAGCAAATGCAAACGTCATCATTAGAGAGGTGTGAGTATTGGTGCCCAGGCTATATTACCTATCTGCAGTGGGAAAAACGAAGACTGCCAACCACAAGAGTGACTGCAAAGAATGCTCTGGCTGGTGGTTTTCAGTTTTCAATTTAGCCGTTTACCTGGAGTTCAGTTTTTGTATGCATTCAGGATCTATGTCTTTAAAAAAAAGTTTCCAATATTTTAGTAAGACAATATATATTTTATAACTTAAACAACTATTTTGATTACTAAATAGCCAAGGAGTACTTCTCATATTTTCAGTATACTTGAATATAACATTGGTGACTACACATTACAGATGTGCTTTGGCATGGCAGTCTGGCGTCAACGTGTATTTGCAATTGTATGCAATAAAAACCTCTGTTTTTAACCTGAATAGTTGATACAGTTTAGTTTGTTTTGTTTTTTTTCTGGCTGGCTGGCAAACGTTCTGGGGACCCCCTTTGTATTGTTTTGTATGTTGCCCTGCCCATGTGCATCTTTCTCCTTTTTGCTAGTTTCAAATTCATTCAAACTGCTACCATTGTTGCTCCTCTGTATATATGCTAAATGTATTCCAGTATGTTTAAATGCATTGAAATGTATTGAAATTAATTTCATGAGAAGCCACTGAATCAAAAAAGCACAGGGCTGTGTCCATATACCGAGCAGCTGAATGCATATCAAACAGGCACGTGATAGTTGCAACCCAGGTGAACTGCACCATTTCCTAATAGGAATGTATGGCTTCTATTTTAAAAAGGCAGTCCACCCAAAAGAAGTGCTTTAGGTGTAGGGGGAATCTGATGGTGTCAGCCCATGAGTGTTTACATGTCTTGGATACTCAAGCTATACAATTTCATTTCCAAGGGTCCTGTGCTGGCCAGGCTTTCGGAAATCTACACTTGGCCCACAGGAATATTATTTCATCCAAAGAGTCAAGAAAAACACTACACAAAAGGACAGTATAACATATCACACTTTTCCAAATTAACCTATATAGTCCACTGTCATAATAGCTGGTATTTTTTTTTTTTGGAGGGTAGGTTCTCTTTTAAGTACGCCTTTCAGTAGAGAAGTTCAGGAGCTGCAATGTATGGCTTCCCTCTGAAATTGCCAGTATCCTGGCAATTATCTAGCTTTAATACTTTGAGGTCACTGTCCCAGAACCCGTGTGTATAAGAAATGTAGGTGTAACAGTAAATGAGCTTTAAAACAAGCCCTCACTAACCTTTGCATCTACAAGCACGGTGGAGCAATTCATCCAACAGAAGCACTTAAGTTGCCCTAGTCGTTTTATCAGCTAAGCTTCCTCCACCTTACCATCAAAGCAGTGACTTAACTGACTTTACAGCTTACTAACCCTGACCCCCCGCCCAACAGTAACTAAACGGCACCCTGCTCCCCCATCCAGCAACTCTTGATCTTTGTTTAGAGTAGAGGTTACATGGACCACAACTGTGAACTAGAACTGTGGTCAGACTATAGACATCCAAATATTTACATTTTCTTGAGCTGTTGAGTCACTGTTGAAAGGGGTTAGCAATGTGGGGTGTTGAGTCACTTTGAGAGGGGGGGAGCAACTGCTATAAGGGGTAACAGGGTGAGCTGAGCTGCTGAGTCACTGCTGGGAAATGGAGCTGAGCTGCTGAGTGAATACTTTGTTGACTTCAGTTCTTCTGCTCCTGAACCTGAAAAATAAGTTGCTCCATAGTGCCTGTAGTCACAAAGGTCAGCGAGGGCACAATTTAAAGCTCATTCACTGCTTGTTAAGCATATGTAAGTGCTTCATAATGTCAATTTCCTGGCCAGAAATTTACTTTTGAAATAACTATTTTGCAATCTTATTTTGCTACATAAAATGCCTGTGTTCCAAACATCTAAAGTTGTTTCTGTTAACCTTGTTCATGGCAAATGTTTAGCTTTCTTTAAAGCTCATTCCAGTGACAAGGTCGACAGTGATGATCAAATGGATTCCTGGAATTAACTTCAGAATTTATGTACAAAGGGTGTGAAGATGATTCAAGCCATCACAAGCCTGAAGTGCTTAAAACCATTAGTAGCAGCACTTAGATTCCCCCTAGCATTCCCTGTCACCGTGGGATTTAGCAATTAGACGGCCAATATTGAGCTGCTAGCAGAGAAAGTAGAGGTGAAAGAAGTCAGCACTCATTAAAGTTTTTTTTCTTTTTTTTCCAAGCCACGTTTGGCTTTTAATCATTTGTAACGTTCTGCATTATTGGAATTGGTTGATGGATCAATAATAAAATGATGACAGAAATCAACAATTAATTACTTAAGGTCTGGCTTTCAGAAACGGAAAAGAGGGGCACAGCATTTATTTAGTACCCCTGAAATGGGTGTAGCACAGTAACACGGTCAGTAAAGTCAGAAAAGACAGAAAGCCATCAAGTTTAAAGCAAAGCTGCGATTTGGCCAGGCGAAGTGAAGCAAAGAGATTATTTAAATGAGTATCTACAAGTTTGTATTTAAGTTATGGCTGTAAGTAGGAAATATTTAAAGCATATCTAAACCCAAAAACAAAAATGTCATATATTGCAGCTTTCTAGTCATTGAATAAGTAAGATGCATTCATTTGTTTCAGGATTTTTTTCCTTAATTTTTCCCCGAGAAACTTTTCAGATAACACACTTCCTGTCCT